GGAGGGTTATTAGAAGGCTGTGGTTTTAAATATGCAGGCTGGCATTTAGAAATATTTCTGTTCCAGAAACTTTCACCCCAACAGTATTAGCCATAGTGGATTTTGTCTTCCTTGAACATCCATCTGCCTTACCAACTCCCTCCTTGGAGAGGGTCAGGGGTAGCAGTGAAATTTCTCCTGACAATTTTCACATAATTCTACATGAGTGCCATGCCTGCTCTGGAGATTTCTGGGGATCACGGTGCTGGATGTTGTGAGAGACAGGAAAGTAGACGATTCATTCACTCTAAGTTTACTTTATAGTCATCACCAGTGGCAAGCGCTAACTGGGACCATTCTAATACTAAACAGTGGAGCTACAAATGGCACCCGGCAGTCTGTATCTCCAAGGTGATGGATACACTATGGAGAGAGGCCTGCAACGCAGGGAGCAAGAGAAGCAAGAGGCAGAACTCGGGGTCTCAGCAGTGTGGGGGTGACCCCTGACTTAGCCCCTTCTGAGCTGTGGGACCCTGGGCATTTCCCTGCAGCCCGGTTCCTCACTCATAAGAAGATGATGCCTCCCCAGTAAGGTTGCTGGAGGAAAACAATCACAGTGCTCGGCACCAGCATGGGCTCAACGTTTGGCATTTATGTTTTTATTGAAGTGGCTAACAAACTACCTGGGAGCATACACTGCAGGTAAGGGAACACTATCTCACAACCGGAAACTGCTGCTGTCCCCACTGGAAAAATCAAGAGGGGGTTAAAGCTGGAGTGAGTTACAGAAAACTGCTGATTGAGAGTTCCCTAAGAGAAACAGTTCCTCTTCTGCAATTTTGCTCCACCTGGTGATGAGGAGGAGCAACAGTGAAATGGTCATCCCAGCCTGCCAGGAGGCAGCAGCTTGCTGACCACAGGCAAAGGAATGCCTAAACTACCTGATCACTGCTCTGTGGGTGTGACCCCTGCACCAACGAGATGACATCAGTTCTGCCCCAAGACACCTGTCACATCTCCATACCAATAAGTCACGACCTGACAGGGAAGTGATTCTTAGATCTGTTCCTACACGGTACCACCATTGGTGGAGAGCCATCTGTAGCATTTGGCTGCACCTGTCATGTACCTGGCTCGACTCCCCGTGTCAGGAGGGGCACCGGCTTCAGGGCTGGTGAGGCCCTTGGGGTCACATTCATCTGCACGCCCACCTCCCACAGCCTGGCAACTAGGCCCCCACCATCAACAGCAGGAGATGCCAACTGTTCCCAGGTGTCCTCAGTGCAGGGCAGGAGAGGAAGGAAAGCTTTGCATTGGAAGCCACGTCTTTCAGGTCCCTGGGCTCAGACTGCTGCTCTGTGGAGTAGGAGTTACTGACCTGTGAGCAGCTTGAAGATAACAGACACACCTTACTCACTGTCA